GACAGTGAAGGAACTCTGGTGTTTATTATAAGATCTCTATGGGGGGTAGCAGTAATATTAATCGAGCATATGAAGTTATTCAAGAGCTGTTTCGTAATAAACATGATGGTAAACCCATGCATGATCATTATGGTGGGTTCAATCGTCTGGCTGAGGAACTTCGTCATATTTTTTCTATTACTGGGATGTAAATCAGATGCAAAACCAATAAAATAAATTTATGGTACTCACCTACTGGGTACCCTAGATTCTATTTACTCCTTTACTCGACCACAAATCATAGAGAGTTCCGCCATTGGTTCTCTGACTGAGACTTATCATTTTTTGAAGAACGTTGTCCCTGCACAGCCACTTACATCCACCATAAATCGCTCTGCGCTTGCCACTCAGAGTTGACAGTCTTATGGACGAGGGTGTCATACTGGTGGTCCTGGAAGAGGTGAAGACAACTTTGAAGGGAGAGGAGGTTACTACACTGGTTGTTCTGGGGGCCGAGGTGGTCAACGAGGTGGCCGTGGAGGTCCACCTCAATGCAGACATACTAATGGTAATGACTCAGTGAAGACTTGTAACTACTGTCACCAATCAGGACATCTCAAATATAATTGTCTTGAATTGGAAAAGAAGAAGGTCAATGTGCTTACATGGCCGCTCAGGACAACTTCACATCATCTGATAGTGAAAGTCAACTACAGTCAGTCTTTCAGAATACGAAGCTACAACTTTAATTTTAGCAATTTTAATTATTCCAGTAGTATCAAAGTTCACAATCATCATCCTCTTTATCTACTATTCTCAAAAGTGCAGGTATCTCTTTATCTTTACTTACATCGTCTTCGTCTCATACTTGGATTATAAACATACATGTGTCACTGATCATATGACTAGGAATCAATGTATCATATCCTCTTTCTCTCCTACAACTAATTCAGTTATATTAGCTGATGGTTCACGTACACCTATTCAGGGTGTCAGCAACACCAATCCTACACCTAGTTTCCCCTTTTCCTCAGTATTCTATCATCCTAGTTTTTCCTATAACCTTTTATTTGTTAGTAATATTACTAAATTACTAAACTGTACTATGACATTCTTCTCCACACATTATGTCTTTCAGGATCTGGTCACGAGGAAAACAATGGGGACAGGGCATGAACAGAACGACCATTATAAGCTGGACTTGGGCACCAAACATTTAGCTTGTATTAGAACTCATCAGCTCTACAATATCATTGTCAGCTAGGGCATCCATCTTTCTCTATTCTCAAGCTTCTAAATCCCCGGTTTAAATCTATTTCCTCTTTAGAGTGCGAGTCGTGTCAACTTGGCAAACATCATCGTGTATCTTATCCTAATCGAATCAATAAGAGGGCTGCAAAGCCATTTGATCTTGTTCATTCTGGTGTCTGGGGGCCATAATGCTCAATAACTTCTAAATTAGGATTTTGGTAATTTGTCAGTTTTGTGGATGATCACTCTCGTGTTACTTGGATTTATCTTCTCAAGTCTAGGTCTGAAGTCTTTTCTACATTTAAACTTTTTTATTCTAAAATAGTCAATCAATTCAATATTTCGATAAAAAAATTTCGATCTGATAATGCAAAGGAATATTTGGATGGCAACTTTACTAGTTTCCTTGAACAATATGGAATTCTTCATCAGTCTTCTTGTGTTTACACTCCTTAATAAAATAAAGTTGCTGAACGAAAGAATAAACATCTCCTTGATATTGCTCGAACCTTATTATTTCATCGTCACGTTCCCAAAGAGTTTTGTGGGGAAGCTATCCTAACATCATGTTACTTGATTAATAGAATGCTCTCTTCTATTCCGCAAGATAAAATTCCTTTTAAAGTTCTATACCCCAACGATGATCTCTTTTCGCTTCCTCCAAAAAATTTTGTCTCTCTATGCTTTTTTCATAATCACAGTCCAAACAAATAAAAGTTTGACTCTCGATCTATTAAAGGCATTTTTCTTGGCTACTCCCGAAAATATAAATGTTACAAGTGTTTCTGTTCATCACTCAATCGTCTTGTATTATCTGCTAATGTAACATTCTTTGAAGACAAACCTGGTTTTTCTAGTTCTCCAACTCCATTATAATCGGATGAGTATAACTATTTAATCCTACAAGAGTCATTGATTAACTGTGGTGGTTCATCCACTGACAATACTATTTACGCTACTGGCAAAGATTCTGCTCGGTTTAATGACCTAATTCAAGTTTATCATCGTCGTCTTACTCCTGCTCCTAAGCCAACGTCGGCCTCAACACCATGTCATCCGCTAGAAGAACCATAATCAGTAAGTTCAAATTTACCCCCTTTTGCGTGCGGAAGACCTTCCTATTGCACTTCGAAAAAGGACACGAACTTGTACTCAACATCCTATATCTAACTTTGTCTCTTATGATCGTCTCTCCTCCATCTTTCAATTTTTTGTTACTTTCCTCGACTCATATTTGGTTCCCAAGAATGTGTCATAAGCTCTGCCTATTCCAGATTGGAACCAAACGATGCAAGACGAAATAAGGGCCTTGCGACAGAATGAGACTTGAGATTTGGTCCTACTTCCACAAGGAAAGCGGCCCGTCGGGTGCAAGTGGGTGTATACTGTCAAATTGAATCCTGATGGAACTTTGGCACGCCTGAAAGCCTGACTTGTGGCTAAAGGCTACTCGCAGGTGTATGGCTTAAATTACTTTGCTACCTTCTCTCTAGTGGTAAAAATGACATCTGTTCGGATTTTTCTCATTAGCAGCGACAAATCACTAGCCACTTCATAAGTTGGACATCAAGAATGTATTTCTTAATGATATTCTAGATGAGGAGGTTTACATGGAGCAACCACCCGGTTTTGTTGCTCAGGGGGAGAATGCGAATGTGTGTAAGCTGAAAAAAGCACTTTATGGTCTGAAGCAATCTCCGAGAGCCTGATTTGAACGTTTTGTATCGGTTATTCAGGAATTTGAGCTCTGTCGTGCACAGAAAGATCACTCTGTCTTCTGGCGATTTCAGAATGGGAAATAAATTCTACTTGTCTTTGTGGATGACACTGTAATTACAGTGGATGATGCTTCTGGTATTGACAGCCTGAAGAAGCATTTACAGATACATTTCCAAACCAAAGATCTTAGTTTCCTAAAATACTTCCTAGATATTAAAATCACAAAGTCAACGAAGGGTATTCTTCTGTCATAAAGAAAGTACGTCCTGGATATGCTTTCAGAAACTAGGATACAGAAGCAGTGATTCTCCAATGGATGCGAACTCAAAACTACTACCAGATCAGGGGGAGCTTCTTGAAGATATTGGACAATATAGAAGATTAGTGGGGAAACTGAATTATCTGACGGTGACCAGACCTGACATCACATTTGCAGTCAGTGTTGTGAGTCAGTTCTTGTCCGCACCAATAACTACTCACTTGGATGCAGTAATGAGAATTTTGAGGTACTTGAAGAAGGCTCCGAGACGAGGAATTCTCTACTCATATCAAGGACATACCACAGTTGTAGGCTTCTCTGATGCAGATTGGGCTGGATGTCCTTTTGATAGGAGATCAACTACTGGAAATTATGTCTTTCTCGGAGGAAATCTAATGTCATGGAAAAGTAAAAAAGCAAAGTGTTGTATCTCGATCCAGTATAGAATCAGAATACAGAGCTATGTAAAATGTGATACTAGAGATGGTTTGGATCAGAGACCTATTGACAGAAATTGGTCTCTTTCTAGAATGTCTCATGGATCTATATGGCAATAAAACAACAATTCACATTGCTGAGAATCCCGTGTTTCATGAAAGAACCAAGCACATTGAAGTCGACTGTCATGTAGTCCGCAAGAAGCTCGAGGATAAAATCATCACGACAAAACATATATCGACAGTAGATCAGCTAGCAGACATTCTTACAAAATCACTTTGTCGAACACGGGTTGACTTTATTTGTGACAAGTTGGGCATGCATGATACATATGCTCCAGCTTGAGGGGGAGTGTTAGAAGAAGAGAGTATTAGTTTAGTCCCACATTACTTGTGAGATTAACTTGTAACTAATTCATCTCTATACATAAAGTATAGAGTTGGGGGATAACTCTCAAACAATCTCTTTTCTCTCCAAATTTTTTAACAGCCTCTAATCTAGTTTTTCATGAGTGAACCAAACATATAGAAGTCGATTGCCACTTCATATGGGACAAATACTTGGCTGGAAGATCACACTTCACTCATGTTCATTCACAACACTAAATAGCAGATCTATTCACTAAGGCAATGACCTGAGTGAGACATGATTATTTAGTGGGCAAACTGATACTAACTGCATAGCTTCAGTTTGAGGGGGGAGTGTAGAAGTATATATGCCAAGTTCTATATTTTACTTCATTAATACATAGGACAGATTGTAAATACATACAAGAACAGACTTGTAAATTTATGAATTATGTATATATTTGAGAGCTGCCAATCTAGGACAGCCTCCTTATTCAAACAAGGTGAGTTATCATTTATATCCTCTTCTATTATACATAGCTAAAAAGTTACGTCTAATTTGTTCTATGAAAATAGATCAACTCAAAAGCTAATCTACTTGAGATAAGTCTAGAGAAGTTCTTGGTTATTCGGAAGGAGGCATTCGATGCGCTTCTTCTCTATAATCTAATATACGCTTCAGGTTTGTTCATTCCTTATTTAGATTGAATCCATCTCAAATTTTATGCCACAGTTTTATAGGTAGCTGAAA